GATTTGAATTCAGAGGTGACGGTGCTGGGATTTCGATTGCCCATTGCCACGCTTTGATTGATGAGTTCAGCAGCGTTGGCTTCCACAAGGCCTTCACTCGAAACATTTGCGTGGAGGTCCTTCCAGGAGACGCGGCCACGGAGCAATTCAACCAACAGTTAATCCTGGAGCCGGCTGGGAAACTACCTGAGCTTCATGCTCTCAGGTTTGCATCGATCAGCGGATCACATACGAATGCATGTTTGCGCTGCATCAAGGCTGAGGCGCTTCACGAAGGCGATCCATCCATTACTGAATCTGGTCGTGTGTCTTTGACAAAGGTCAGGGCCAAAGATGAAAAGCTTGCGGACGCTGCTTGCACTGGCATGAGTTGGCTGGTCATCAGCCGGGACGCTGTTGATCGCTGGCCATCCCTTCCTCAGGTCATCCAGAGCGCTGCTAACAGCGCAAACCATTTGTCAACTGGCGAATCTGAGCTACAGCTTGCCAGGAAGATTTTGGCCAAGTGGAAAGAACAGTCAGACGATGGGAAGCGCATGATCACATGGTCCCAGATCTCAAAAAGCGTTCTGCAGTCAAAACCTTCGCAATCGATGACTTGTCCTGCCATTTTCTCATTTGTTTTGAACTTCGGTGGCGGTCGTGGTGCTGACTGGTTGTTTGCGACTGAAAGTTGGGTCAGAAGCCACGGTCATCCTGACAAGAACTTGGGTTTTGATGTGCAGCTCGGTTTGTAAAGTGCCTAATTTGATGTTCCTAGGCGCTTAGTACTGTGCTTTGTATATGCAGACTTGGGTTGTGGGAGGTCCCCTGATTGACATTGACATTGTGGAGAAAACCACAAAAAAGCATCCGTACATTCGGTCCACACACACATGGCTTTGAAGGCTTTGAAGCATCGTCGTTGTTGTCGAGCCTGAGGTGGGACAGTTTGAGCGTTATCACCAAGAGTGGCAAACAGCGTATGAGACTCAGGCATGCCCTCTTGAAGCTCGCTTATTTTGGACCCAACGATCGAATTCTGACCTCTGCAGATTGTCGAAAGCTTCTGGTTGGCAAAGACATGCAGGGCAAGGTTGACCAGTGTGAGGCTATCTTGTCGGAGCTTCATGACATCACCAAGAAGCACACGTGCTCCAAGGAAAAGAGCATGCAACTGGTCGGCATGGCTGAGTGCAAAGTTGTGGCCACTTTGTTGCAGAAGAAGCACCGGGATATCTCTTGGTCATTTGATTCCATGGAGGAAGCAGCGTCCGAGTTTGTTGAGCTCTTCGGCAAGGAGGTTGGAAAAACCCTGGCGTGCTCGTTTGCTGCCACTCCCAAGAAAGAGGCGGCAGCCTCATCGTGTGCGCCGACGTCTTCATCTGGGGTTGGGACCAAGTTTGTGCCAGAGCCATTCCATGTCGCGTCATGTACAGACTTGGATCACGCTGTATACTTGGTTCATCAGTGATCAGGTTGAATATCAGAATATGTGTATATATACAGAGTAGAAAATATAGCTATATAAGTTATACTATATATATATATTTATGTAGCTGGGCAACGCTCGCTCCAAAGCCCAAGGATGAAAGAGGTGAACGCAGACGGTCGTGTGACCAACGAGCACGAGACGCTGACGCAAATGGGTTTCGGTGTTGGGGCGTTGGTGGTTCGCGCCAAAGACAAAACCGTTGCCAAAATCAAGTCCGTTGGAGATCGTGTCATTTTGGAGCTCCAGGATGATGCCAATAGAGGCAAGGAAGTCACATGCAGCCCAGGGTCCTTTTTGAAAAAGGAATGGAAGCTGCACAAAGTGAAGAGGTCTGCCGGCGCTGTGCCAGACTGGCATACGTTTTCGCCACATGCTTCTCCAGATTTTGCAGTTGCCCTTCTCAAAGGCCACGTCATGTTGATTTCTTTCTCGCACATAGGTTCCATGTTTTGTTTGTGTTTATGACGAAGTTGCGCCCCATGTATGGAGCAGGTGTTGAAGGGTTCCTTGCAGAAATAGTGGCATCTGAACATGTTGTTTCTGTACATTCTCATGATTACGGCAAGAAGATATTTGCCCAACAGTCCCAAATATGATACTGCAAAATTTGTTCGCCTGGCAGGAAAGATCGTGAATCTCCTCAATGCGCAGTGGGACGCCAAAATCAAGGACGTGGACCATTTTGAAATCTTTCAACAGCCAAAGGACGTGAAGGTTACCCGAGATTTTGCCATTGGCAAATGTCAGATTTTGCCATTGGCAAATGTCAGCTTCCGGTCACGACTACCAAGGTATATGTTGGGGACAAGCTTGAGTCGAACCCCTCGCATGTGATGTTGGGGGACTGGACCTTCGGGGATGGTAAATACCAAGTCGCCTTGATGGCTGGCACAGTTTGGCCAAAGGCCGACTCTGAAAGCCCGCCGCCTGCTGCTTTCATCTCTCCGTTTTGGATCTTGCGCAATTCTCACAAGAAGGATGAGCGCAACATGGAGCTTGCGTATGATAAGGGGTCCAGGAAGCCTTCCTTGGACACCGGCTTTGTCTTGCCATACGCGCGCAATTTCCAGACGATCAAGCAGGGCGACAGCTTGGTGTTGTACAACGAGCATGCCAAGAGAGAATCTAACGTGGAAGAGTTGCAGCCTGTCAAGAAGCGACGTCGGGAGAAGGGAGCTGACTAGGGTGTGTATAGCTATTGTTTCCAGTTGCAGTGCCAAGCGATCGCCCATTCTGAACATAGACATAGGCTTTGTATGACTTGATGGGAAAAAGGATTTGATTCACCATTTAGCAGGCAGTCTTGTTTGGAATGATGAAAAGCTAGGACACACAGGCAACTAGAATGTTTGCGCAGCAATCACGGTAGTTTGGCGTGTTCCTCCAGCAAGCTTTTGATGCTTCCCGTGGCTCTTGTGCAAGGGACATCTACATAGATTTCATCATTGTAGGATTTTGTTCACGCCTTCACCGGTCTCATGTCGGATGCAGAGGGCGCTGATGCGGAAGCAGACTCTGCAGGAGAAGAAAACGAAGGGCCTTTACCTGAACAGATCAGGGTCTTTCGAGTTACAGCTGTGTCGGGGCCTTGCTTGAAGAGCCCTTGGCTTCCAGATGTTCAAACCGTTGAGGGTGTCGAATACATTCGGCTGACCAAATGGTCGCCGCAGCTGACAAAACTGTGCACAGGTCGGACAAAGCAGTTGCACAACAAGAAGGAACAGCACACTATGAATGTTCAATGGTTTCAGGACACCACTCAGCTTCGTCGAGAAGCATGCGACGCAGCTGTGAAAAGGCTTATCCTCGAGAATGTACCCGCCAATACAGAGCCTCCTGCCAAGATCCGACGAGCAATTCAGCAGGATGAGTACATGGTGGGCAGATCTATCCTTGTGAACATGCCTGCTATTTCTGATGGCTGGCCAGAGCGGGCAATCAGGTTTCT